ATATTAACAAAATCCTCCAATTACCAGTGGAATATTGTTTGTGGAAAAAATAACAACTCCTTGATATTGAGGAGTATTTTCTGTAATTCGACTTAAACCAGACTTGGAAATATGATGTCCATAGAGAAACTGTTGTTCGGCTGATGGTTTCACCCAAATTTTATGCTAGGAAGAAATGTTCGTATTTTACGGTCATATTTTTCCAATTGATTAATAATATTTATATATAGATCGATGGAATTAATTTGGATTTGAAACAATATGAAAAATATACTTGTAATAAATATAGAAATTATATTTAGTGAGAAATATAGTGAAATCGAGATCGTAATAAAAATATTTATAATAATTACTTGCACGTAAGGAGCCAAGTGATATAACGCGGTAATATGTAGTCTAAATTTTCCAGATTTTGTAAATTTCCCAAAACATGTTCCGATACTTGTTAATTTTTCTGGATTTACCATACTTGCTAATAATAAAATCTTTTCAGAAACATAATATACTCTGCCTTTTCTCTCTCGAAAACAATAGACACCATCTGGTCGATCGAGTAATAATTTCACGTTGGTTCCAATGCTGCGAATAAGTTTTTAATAGGTCGGCTGTTAAGTGTATGTACGTTAAAAAATTATTCACGATCAAACGAATGAACAATGAATAAACAGTTTTCGAGAAACTGACTTTTGGAACTTACTACTTTGTTAATTTTTCTAAAACAAGTTTCGTTCTCTCTTCTGTTAACCGTTTCATATTTTATCATTCGTAAATCGCACAAACTTTTATATTGTAAAAATTATTTAAAATATTATTCCGCGTGATATAATTACATTTGAAATCTATCGAGATAAACAAACGACAAAATAGGTTAGCTCGAGAAACGTGTTTTCGCTGTATCGCTCCACGTTTAAAATTACAAGATGAGAAACTTGCATAGACTTTTTATAAATGACACGAATAAAAATATTTCTATTGCAAATGCATACCCTTTATTTTTTAAAATAAACATACGCATTTATTTGAAGAATTTAATAATTTAGTAATATTTTGTCGGAACAAAATTGATTAATTAATCTTCCTGAAATACGTATGTAGGTGGTCTTCCTTACTTACTACTTGTGACAAATATTTGTGCTTCTTCGATCTTAAAAGTGGACTATTTCGTAAAATAACAAAACTGACATAATGTTGTAGAGAGTAATAACAAATATACCATTGTTTAAATTATAAAGCAGAGATTAATCGAATTGCAAAAATTCAATTTGCTGAAACGAAAGGTTTTGTAAAAACCAAAACCAAATGAGAATGCAATTCTAAGCTTTTTTCATTTTTAAGAAGAAAGTCGAGTTCATTTTCAATTTGTAATAATGACAATTTGCCCTACGACTCGACGTTTGGTGATACTTTCGAGTCGTACCTTTCAATGATCGGACTATATAGGACAGAAGCGCGGTAGAAACGGCGCTTGCGTGCCATCTACTAAAGATGGCGCCTTGCGGTATTCTACCATTTTAATCTTGCTGGGCCGGCAGCGTGCGTGAAAACTACTATCGCTGAAAGTCAGCCTTGTTTCGTTGTCTTCGACGAATATGCCTACTTAAAGCAGGCAGTCGCGACTGTCCGCTTATTAGTGTGAATCTTTGTCTTTCGGTGTGCACAAATAAAATTCTGGATCCCAAACGATCCTTTGTGATCCACCTTGTGCTTCTTCCTCCATCAACTTGTTCTCAAACCATCGCTTCTTCGGCCCAATTTATGGTACGTATTCTCAATTCTCACCTATTTTCGACAATTTTCTTTACCGTTCGTCCCGGAATTTTCTGTACTTCCGCAAAATTTATGTCAATCTTTCCGTGCAAAAGTTGCCCGTTCTTAATTTCAACTTTACTGAACTGAAATCAGTTGTGAAAGTTCAAATTCACCGAATACCGTCTATCAAGCATTTGTTTCGCTATTTTTTCACGTTTTTACTCGTTCTTGACTCTCGTCTGATGTATCAAGTGGATTGTATGCGCGTAAGTTTTATTAGTATTGTATCGAAATTTTTGTTGCTAATGACATGCTACATCGTTCGATGTTTTATCTTATCTCGCAATACATTTTTACCTGATAGCTTGCAATTATGATTTAACAATTTCAGGCCTGTGTTCTTTCTTTCTTTTTGTTTCACCAAATGAATTTTATTGTATTTCAAGTCGGCACTGTACTTGCAGTTATTAATTAAAATTTTTGCATGGTTTCACTTACCCTCCTTGTAATTTTTTACGATGAATTTTGCGAC